CAAGGAAAGAATAGGAGGTAAGGGTGCCTGAAAAGCTATTTCAATTTTCCGGAGATTTCCAAAAACGTAATTCCTCCATTTTCAACTCTCCCGACCGGTGTCTAGTGATTAGGGGCGGCGCTAAAAACAGATTGGCGGAAAATCTTCGTGGAGAGAGAAAAAGTGCAAAGAGGGATACATATAGAAAAAAGAAAACTAAAAGAAAGAAGAAGAAAGAAGAAAAGGAAGAGGAGGAGGAGGAGGAGAGAGGGGAGGAGGAGGAGGAGGAGAGGAGGGAGGGAGGGAGGAGGGAGGAGGGAGGGAGGGAGGGAGGAGGAAGGAAGGAAGGAAGAGGAGAGAGGAGAGAGGAGAGAGAGAGAGAGAGAGAGAGAGAGAGAGAGAGAGAGAGAGAGAGAGAGAGAAGAGAGAGAGAGAGAGAGAGAGAGAGAGAGAAGAGAGAGAGAGAGAGAGAGAGAGAGAAGACGAGAGAGAGAGAGAGAGAGAGAGAGAGAGATGAGAGAGAGAGAGAGAGAGAGAGAGAGGAGAGAGAGAGAAGAGAGAGAGGAGAGAGAGCGAAGGCAGAATAAAAGAAGAAAGGATTTTGTAAATGAATAATATTGCTCACGATAACACTGGAACGAACTGAGGTACAGAAGAAAGGAATTAGTAGAAATACGAAGATAGAAACGAAGAAACTGAAGAAAAAGAAGAAAATATAATTGCGAGTCAATAATGCTAGTTATGATAACAAGAAGGAACCAATAAATGCCGACAATAGAAAAACAAGAAAATAAAGAAGTAAAACGTATAAGAAAAGAAAATATATCGCTCGTTATAGCACTCGACCGAAATGGGATACAAACGAAATCAACCGATAAATACCGGGGAAGAAAAGAAAAAGAAAAGAGGGAGGATAAAGAAGAGGATAAAGAGAATAAAACATGGTACGAAGCAATAAAACAAATAAGAGGAGACGAATAAAAAATCAAAGAAAACAGTGAGCAAATACGACAAAAAAATGAAAAGACGAAAATAAGAAAAGACAAAGACGATAAAAAAAAGTAAAATGATAATAATAAAAACACACAGAAGAGTAAAACAAATAAAAACAACACTAAATATAAAAGAAATAAAAAGTAACGAAGAAAACAGAAAAGAAAACCAATCATCGACTTCAATAATGACCCGCAGGAACATGATTTACGACTCGGTGAAAACAATCCAACATGGCGGCCGATTTTTTCCCGCGCTTTGCCTTCTCGCATTTACTGATCGGAATTTCATGTCTGCGATGGGAGTTTCTGAGTCTTTCTTGTCTCTATTTTTTTCTTTTCTTTAGATACTGAAGCTGCGAATGGTTTGATGTGAGTAGTTTGTTTATGTTTATATATTATGAATTCGTTTTTTTTTTTTTTGAGAGTAGGAAGAGGAAGAGGAGAAGGGAGAGGGAGAGGAAGGAGGAGAGGGAGAGGGAGGAGGAGAGGGAGAGGGAGGAGGAGAGGGAGAGGGAGGAGGAGAGGAGAGGGAGGAGGAGAGGGGAGAGGGAGAGGAGAGGGAGAGGAGGAGGAGAGGGAGAGGGAGGAGGAGAGGGAGAGGGAGAGGGAGGAGGAGAGGGAGAGGGGAGGGAGAGAGGAGAGGGAGGAGGAGAGGAGAGGAGGAGGAGAGGGAGAGGGAAGAGGAGAGGGAGAGGGAGAAGGAGAGGGAGGGAAAGAGAAAAGAGGAAGAAACCGAAGAGAGACAGAGGGAGAAAGAAAGAAAAAGAGTTATTTAACTGATGTTTGGTTGGCTGTATTAACATCAAAGAAGCGAATGCTGAGGCCAACAGCATAATCATACCAACATATCCCCGCATTACTATAAAAGATGTCATTTTTAGTGAGTGGGACGCAGAAGAAATATATACGAAAAGGCGTTAAAAAGAATTAATGGCTCAAACGACATTCTCATATCAAGAACAATGTACAAAATAATAACAATAATATAATACGTAATAACAAAAAAAAAAATGGTTTGACTGCATCTGGGAAACATATTTGAAAATTTCTACAACCTTGCAAAGCGAAAACAAAGTCTGTACAAACCATTATATTTGCAGAGTAGTTTTAAGTACTTTTTCCAATTGATTTGAAGCTCCTACAATATTTTGCTTGTAATTAGATATCATACCGGTATATCAGGTACTTCATTAGTTTTCTATTCACATCGCTTTTCCGAAATTAAGAAAAATAACTTTGTATGTGCTAACTTCGATGATAATCGTGTTATGTAGCGACCATGATACAACAATGTATCCAAGTGTTTGGAGTTTCGGGATGCTACAAAAAGGCCTATTATGTTATGTTACATATATGTGTGTGTGTGTGTGTGTGTGTGTGTGTGTGTGTGTGTGTGTGTGTGTGTGTGTGTGTGTGTGTGTGTGTGTGTGTGTGTGTGTGTGTGTGGTGTGTGTGGGTGGGTGGTGGGTGGGTGCGTGGGTGCGTGGTGCGTGCGTGCGTGCGCGCGCGCGTGTGCGTAACTAACACCACAATGAAAGGACTTCTGATCATCAGGTGTTTCCAATGTGTGTGTGAAGGGTGACTAATGACGAAAACACATAACGCGCAATTCAAAAAGTGGATAAGGGTAATGAAAACTTCGGCCCGAGGTTCGGTTACGGAAGCTTCTAGCCGAGATATGAACCTCACACTAAACGCACACATTACCACAACAATTACCATATGAACCGAAATCCTTCTTAACCCCGTCCTCCTTCCCAAAGACTTCCTTTTTTTTTCAAACTTTGTATGTAACTAACACCAACAATTTGATGATAATCGTTTTGTAGCGTAACTAACTCCAGAATGAAAGCACTTCTAATCATCAGGTCCTCCATCCCCAGACTCCCTCTCGACGTTGTATTTCCGTAGTTAGTGGCTTTGACCCTGAACCCCTTCCCAATCGTCGCATTTCGTATCGTACTACTACATCCATTTCAATATTCACTACATTTACAGATGCAAAATGAGTTTTACCTTCTATCGGAGGGGAATGGCAGGCTTCGGTGGTTGAGGCGACAAACTACTGATTTCCGTCGGGTATGTACAGCTGGAAAACTATTATTGTACACCGCTGAATTTAGTATTAGACCAGAGATTATATCAAGATCAGCAATAGTCCCTTTTCACTGGGCTTTTTTTAAACCAGTTCTTACACACTAAGTAGCACTGTAAACTATCTTAACTCCCGAACGCCGCAGTGAGTAATGACGCTAAAACTATCATATTTGCCGGTAAATGGCTTCGCATACGCTGTGACATGAATGTAGAAGTATTTCTAGTAAAATAAGCCGCATACGTGAATTTACATCACGAATGTAAACCTGTCATATAACATATACATACGTTGGTATGTTAGATGACAATTAAAATAGAGAATTACGTTACTGAGTGACTGACCAACATACCCACAGACAGCAGGTAAGTTGTTTGTGTCGATGAGAGGTAAGGCTAGACTGATGTGGGACTTGGGTAAGACTGTCTTCTACGCACGGCAATTGTCGTGACCAATTTTCTTCATTCCTGTTGTTATTCTCTGCCTCTGCACATTATTTCTTACGTCCTTAGACTTTCTGCATCTTAGTGGGGTCACTTTGTATACATATACCAAACATTCACTTTGTATACATATACCAAACATTCACTTTGTATACATATACCAAACATTCACTTTGTATACATATATCAAACATTTAATTGCAACAGCATTTTTTTCTTGTAAACCTATAAGGCATATAAAAAATAGACAGAAGAAAGACTGGGGGTAATTTTATTAGTCAAAAAAATACATTATGTTCAGTAGGGAGGGATCTGGACGAGAAACCTTTGTAAATCAAAATTATTAATAGGCCTTTTTATATGTACATTACTCATATATTAGCTAAATCTGTTACCTTAGTCTAAATTGCATTGTATTGGCAATAAACGTAAATGGGAAAAGTAATCCCTGAAAGCCGGGAAAAGAGCCGGCAAATGCGCCTGAAAGTGCGTCTCAAAATATTGATAATATAATTTTTAACAAAGTTAGTCTTAAAAATAACCTGGTTTCAACACCGTCACTACAATAATTTGATAGCTTGGTGTTTTTGCCTTTTTCATTTTTCAAATGATTACAAAAGAAAACTCAACTACAAGTCTTAATTTTAAGGATGAAATGAAGTAATATCAATGATCAGAATGCATATATTCTTGAGAAATAAATACTAGGACAAACTTCTTTTTTCTGTGCCACAATTTACTTTTAGTCTTTTATATTATAAAGTTTAAAATTTTACGTTAATTTGTACAAATATTCTCCCAAACACTATAGAAATGAATTTCTGATAACCTGAAATTAATCTCTGGAAGGCAATTAGTAATGGAATAGACTATAATAACATTCCTTGTATATCGCTTCATTCACCCATGTATCTGGCTTCAATTCCTTCTTTACAACCAATAGTTATTTTGTACATCAAAAATCTGTTTCACAATTTATAAAAAACACTGGTAAAACCACCGGTCAGATTTCTGGCCAAAAGCTACAAAATATACTTGCAGCTGTGTTTCTAATGTGATATTGCAAAATAAAATTAATAAAATTAAAAAGTGAAATGAAATAAAATAAAATAAAAAGATGAAGATAATGATAATGATATTTCAAAAAAATATAATTGCTTAAATAGCCTGCTGTGAGTTAATCACAGTAACTGCACCGGATTTAAGCATGTTCTCTGGACTAACGAACTTCCATACATATCTCTCTCCGACTATTGTATCTCGGCATTTATCTGGCCTTGTTTTTAATTACCCATTTTCTCCATTTAAAAAAATGGATAAAACAAATGATACTACACATTCTTCATCTACTTCCATTCTTTTCATTTGAGAATTGTATTTCAACATGCGAAGGCAACCGTTAGTTGAGCATCAATAACCTCCTGCTTCCCTTACAAGCCCAGGGGCCTCTCAGCAACAATGCCACCATGCTCACACAGCTCCTTTGCAATAGCTTCAAGGTCAGCAAAGTTCTTCTGGGAGATGTTAGACTTGACAGCTGTGAGGTTGAGCTGGATCCTGTCAGATGCCTGGTCAAAGAATTTTAAAAATCAGATACTGACATTGCAAAAAAGTATTCAATGTATTACAAATTGCTAACTTAATGTAAAATTTTCAGTTGCAATATTCACTTGCATCCAAATATTAAACTTCAAGCTAAGTAGCTAACAGTGAATCACTATGTAATCATCTAACCAATTAAGCTACTTAAAAAATATAAATGTAGATATAAAATAATAATAATAAATAAATAAATAAATGAATAAATAAATAAATAAATGAATAAATAAATAAATAAAAGTCATTATTGGCTCACCTCGTTCACCCAAACACGTGCAATCTTTTCCTCATGTGCAGCAGACGGGAAGTTCTCTGTGAGGGATCGTGATGCCCTTGAGAGGACCACAATGGAAGCATACAAATCAATGGCTGAGTTGGCCAGTCGGTTCAGCAGGAACTGGCGGTGGACAATGTCCTTTCCGTGCTTCATAAGCATACCCTCACAGGTGTAGCCAAAGGCCTCCACAGCCTACAGAAAGCAAAAATGGTGATATTTTAATAAATGATTTTGCAACATAGTTATCTCTTTAAAACACAACATCTTTGTGACGAACAACAAGGAAGAAAATATGCATGTGATAAAATAGTATACCAAATAATACTCATGGAAATTTAGTAATATTATAAATCAGCATAATAAATAAATATTTTGTGATTTTCATTCCATACGGGAGGAAAATATATAAAAGTCAATAAATCAGAAAACAGAAAAGAAAAGAAAAACAAACAAAAAAACTTATGAGCCAACTTACTCTATTGAGAAGTGCTGCAGAATCAGAGAGGTTGGGATGGACACCTTCAATTGGGCCTCCATTGCCGAAACCGATTGCACGCTTTGCTCTCTTGGTGCCCTCACCCAGAATGAGGCCCATGTTGGCTGAGGGGTTTTTCAGGGCCTTCTGCAGCTCCTTCAGGTGGCCTCCTGCATACTGGAGACCTGAGAACAAAGATGAAAAACTTGGTTACAAAACATTTCATTGCAACAGTTCATTATTAAAACTAATAAATGTGCTAGATATCAAATGTCATATAGCACTATGGTAAATAAAGTATCTAGCAAAAAGGGTAAAAACAAGTAAGTTAAAATAAAATGTGTTGGATGTCAAAGATTGTAGAGTGCTGGAGGATAGAACAGTAGTGAAAACAGTAAAGAGGGGAGAGCAAATGGAGTACGGTGGGGATTTGTAAAGGGTTAAGGGTGAAGGGTGATTAGATCAAATGGAGAGTATCTAAGTGTCTGAGGAAGGGAGAGTAACTGCAAAAGTCATAATGAAACAATCTACAGGTAATGTGGGTAGAGATGATAGTTGGAGAAGTAAAGGGGAAGGGGTTAAGGGTGAAGATAGTGAAGTATCAGGAAGAATGTCAGGAGGAGAAGGATTCAGAGGACAACACTATTGCAACAGAAGAGTGTCAGGTGAGCATCCAGGTGGGAGTGGTAAGGATAATGGGGAAAGAATAGGGAACCTTGGTGCATGTAAAGGAGAGGATGAGGCATTCTGGGGGAGAGTGGGAGGCAGAAGGGTTGGGGAAACTTGAGGAATGGGATGGATATTGACAAACACTTTGAATGTTGATCTAATAGGAATAGAGGGATTGAAGGGAGGATGAGGGAGTTGAGTATTCTCTCTTGGGTCATGTTTAGAAAGTCTGGATGTCTTCAAGAGTTTCTGGAGAGAGAGTCGGGTGGGGAAGTCTGAGAAACAAAGGCTTCTTGTGAGAAGGAGAAGAGGGGATAAATGTCCAGGGAGCAGAGAGAGAGGTGGGTGGAGGAGAGGCTGTGGTAGGAAAAGATGGGATGGAACATTTAGATCGCCTGGTCCAACAGGTAGAGTGAGAAGGTGGAGGGGTTGGCATCAGAAAAGTGGTAGAGATTGGAGTATCTGGATTTAGACCGGAAAAGGAATTGGACATGGGGAGGCATGGAGTAGAGACAGGATGGTGGGGGTAGTGGAAAGAGATACTAGGAGAGTTGCTGAGACATTTTGAGAAGATGGGTGGGTAGCAGAGCGAAGTACAGTTTTGGAAAAGGTAGAAAGAAAAACCTCATTGGTATGCACCTTACTGGCCTCATGTAGAGTGAGGCCTAGTTTGAATCCGAGAACTGCTGTCTCAGATTTGAGTTTGTAGGCAGGGCAGTTCCTACAAAATACATTATGGGAGCTACCATCATTGGCACAAGTGCATGACTCAGCAGAGCAATAAGAGCAGTCATGATCAGACTGGGCAAACAGACTGCAGCCAGCTGTAGAGTAACAATTTTTGGCTGGGTGGGGAAAAAGCCAACATTTCTGACATTGATGGGAAGGGGTTAATATGGTCTGACAGTGCAGGCCACTCCATCAATATCAACTTAATGGGGGAGGTCATGTATATGGAAGCTAATCTTGGTAATATTGGTGTAGGACTTTCATTGGCTTCTGAAAGGAATAGCATAACACTGTACTGCCATTGCATCGTAGTTGACAAGGCAGACAAGCAGGGTGTTTTGCAGTCCTTGTCATAGACAGGACAATCAGTTGGGAAGACAGAAACTGTTCTAGTACAGTATTAAGAGACGAGTGAGGTTCAGCAGGAATAGGTTTCATAGTAAGTTAGTCAGGGTAGATAGTGCACAAGCTTGGGACATCCAATGTGGAATCCCAAAGAATAGACAGTCTGATTTCCAGGCAAAACTGGGTTAAATTACAAAATAAATCACCATCCCATTTTATAACACACCTGTTAATGCCACAAAGAGTCGCAGGATGTCATTGGTTCCCTCAAAGATTCTGAAGATGCGGAGGTCCCTCATGACTCTCTCAAGGCCAGACTCCTTCATGAATCCCATGCCGCCCATCACCTGGATAGCCTCATCTGTCACTGTCCATGCTGCCTCTGAAGCAAACACCTAGAAACAAGAGAGAGTGAAATTAAGTGCGGAAATGCTCTGAAGTCCTTCTCCTTCAATACTTCCTTTTTGTTAAGAATGAAATTTACTGTTAAGTATGAAAAAAAAAAAAAAATCATACATTAGTTTTGCCTACAATTTTAGAAATTCTTGAAGAAATTTCAGCCTTCTATTTCTACCAGTTTCAAACACACTTTGTGGAGAAATCTGTAGTGATATGCAAAAATACAAGTCCCATTAAAAGCTTTATTCTTTAAAACCTTCAAAAGCTTTATTTCTAAAATCCTGTATTTTACAGGACAGTCTGAATTCAAAGATAGTTCCAAAACACAGGAATTGCTTCATATTGTTCTCAAAAGAATTAAGACATCAAAATTTCTCCACTTCATACATATACTCCGGTTGGGACATCAATGTTTTTCACTAATTATACATCATTCATCATGAACCCAGGTCTTTCCATCCTTGTAATATTAAATCCCAAAACATTACTTACCTTGCTGATAGCTGCTTCAAGGTGATAGTCCTTTGAGCCAGAGTCCATGTTGCTGGAGATCATGTAGGCCATGGACTCAGTCACATAGTGCAGCATCGCCATGCGGGCCAGTTTCTCCTGTGGGTAGAGATTTTCTTTTTAAATATCTCTTGCCTTTCATACCATGGAATCATCATCTCTGATCTTCTTACTACAGGAATTGGTTTTCCTAAAATATGTTTGCTCCAACACTAATAAAAAAAAAAAAAAAATTATATATAATTCATTCAATTCAAAGGTGGCATCAAAGACTTTATAAATAAAAAATATATAAATATAGATAATTTAATCCATATCAAAAGTATACATATAATAAAGTTGACTTAAACTAAATCTGTAATCACACATATTAGGCCAACTTAAAACCCAAACCAGAAATTAACCTGAATGGTGCCAAAGCTGTCGATCCTCTGGCCGAACTGGATACGAGTTGTGGCGAAGTCAAGAGCCTTCTTGATGGAATATCTCATAGTCCCAGAGAGAGCACCAGCCATACCGAAGCGACCATTGTTCAAGATTTCCATGGCAACCTGCAAGACGTATAATTTAATTAAGATATCATAAAACTTATAAAGAATGCTTCAAATGATTGAACTACACGTTGCTATATCAAAATCAAAGCCAAAACTCCCTCACCTTAAATCCATTGCCAACACCCCCAAGCACATTCTCTGCGGGGATCTTGGTGTCCTCAAAGTAGACCTCGGCTGTGTTTGAGGCTTTGATGCCCATTTTCTTCTCAGGGAGGCCATGCGACACTCCACCAAATGCTCGCTCCACGATGAAGGCGGTTACCTTGTCCTTGGTGACACCTGAAAGAAGGGAGATTGATCTATTAATTTTCATACTCTAACTCTAATCTTCAAACCAGTGGTTTTCAAAAGTATTTAAAGAATATATGCATATGCATAATTAAGTAAACTTATACACAGACACAAACACTTAATCACACTAAAGGCAGAGCAAGAAAGCACACAAATATGCTCATACATTTATGTGTTCTTTTGCTCTTCCCATCATTGCTTCATATACAATTTGTTCAGATTGAATCTTAAACCTAAAAGCATACTCACATATGCTACCTGACTGAAGATCCCTTTGCTTTTCACATACCACAACCCTTATTTTAATACTCTAAATGTTTGTAATCCGATAAGACTTTTTTAGTGCAAGATTCTTCATAATGGGGAGTCATAAAAACTTTGGTGAAAATTAAGATGGCTATAAAATTTAAGGAGATAGAAGAAAAAGATAAAAGAGGGTAAAGAAGAAGGAAGAAGAAAAAATGTGAGAATTACTAAGTTGACAAAAATGGAGGACAGGAGGACAGCAAATGAAAAAGCTTGGAGAGGGAAGAGTCAGAGGAAGAAAAGAAAAGGAAGACAGTGAAATCAGTATAAAAAAAATAGATAACCAAGAAAAGAAAAGAAAAAAGAAATAGAAAAGGAATAAAAAGAAACAAGGACATACAAAAGATAGATACAGAGGAAAATAATACTAAAAAAAAAAAATGGTTTAAAGAATCTAACTTACCACTCTTAGGATCAGTCACAGGTGTCTGAGCAAAGACAGTGAAGACCTCAGCCAAACCTCCATTGCTGATCCAAATCTTGGATCCATTGAGGATATAGTGAGAACCGTCCTCAGATGGCACAGCGCGAGACCTGATGGATCCTGCATCTGATCCACTGGAAGGCTCAGTCAGGGCAAAGGCGGCCATGGTCTCTCCTGATGCGCATTTGGGCAGATATTTGGCTTTCTGCTCTGGGTTGCCAGCAATAAGGATGCCCTGAAAATAATGACTTATAAGTGTACTGACAGGAATAAAACATCTATTATTATTTTCAACACTTTAATAATATTTAGAGTTTTGCATTATTTTGGGTAAGAGTTACTTAATTATGCGTTACAAAACAGTGAAAGTTATGCAAATGTTATATAAAATTATACAACATTCAAAATTTTACAACAAAAAAATAATATACACCAAAAAAAATGGTTTAATAAATTAAAAACAAGAAAACCTTATAATAAGCACCAGAAGAAAACAGCCAGGGGATGTGAATAAAAGAAGGAGAGGAGAGAAAACAAGATAAGAAATAAATAACAAAAGGTGACCAAAAAAAAAATAAAAAAAAATAAAAGAAAAAGAGAAAACAAAAAAATCTAAAACTAGACAAGATACAAACTAAAAGAAGAAAAGAAAAGAAAAAGAAATAACAAGACAGAAATTCAAAAAATAAATCCAGAAAAAAAAGAAAAAAAAAAAAGAAGAAAAAAAAAAGAAAGACCATGAGACAAGGCAAGAAATCAAATGAAACTTGAGCTGACTGTGCCCGCGTCCTCCCCATCCACTCACCTTGAAACCAATAGACTGGTGAGCGCCCAGAGTGATGCCAACTCCAAGGTCGTGTGATCCCACAATCTCCACCAGACGTGCATACTGTGTGTTGGTCAGCCCCACTCCGCCCAATTCTGCCGGTACCTGGAAAATTAATCAGAGTATTAGTTGCGTGGTAATGATAATGATGTTCGTAGCATTTTGATGATCTTTCTTAAATGGTATAAAAGTCGTACTGAGGTATTGACCTTCATGGTATCAATATCAATATTAGAAGAAAAAAAAGAAAAGAAAAAAGAAAAGAAAAGAGGATAGAAAAGAAAAAAAAAGAAGCTTCTTTTTGATAAAACTAAATACTTATAAATATTTGGGAATGCATATATGACTGCTTTATATGAAAAAATTCATGTTTATATAATTTTCTTTGCTTTAAGTACATTTTATTTACACGGTTATAGTTAATTTATCAAAATTTTCATCCATACACACACTATGCATTTGCTTTATGACAAAGCAATATACATTTTCTGGTGCAAAACTTTTAAAGCTCTTGAAAGAACCAGCAATCATAATCTGCCTTGGCAAAACTTTAAAAACTGAACCATTGTCTGAGCTTGGGAGGGTCAGGCATACAAAAGGGTCTGCAGCCTAGATGTGCACTGCCCCAGGAGTGTAATTAAAATGTTACCAATGTGAGACTCGGTGGCTAGAGGTGGCCTATCTGAGTGCAGGAACTTGTGCTTGAGGTACTGACCTGAAGACCAAAGGCTCCGAGCTCCTTCAGTCCTTCCAGAGTGTGATCTTCGACCTTCTCCAAAGCATCATTCTTTGCAGGATCGTTGACCTCCTACAGCATTCCAAAGAGAGAAGAAAAAAAAGTTGAAAAATATAGGAGGTGAATATTTATCATTACACTTTATTCTTTACCATTTTACATAACCTTAGGTAACTGGAATGATTATTAAAAATACATATTTCATTCACTCAGGGATGTACCAGCATCTCCATCACATAAAGTCGCATCAAATAAAGTCGAGAATGCAATCTGCACACCTGTCTTCCTGCATTTTCAAGTCATAAGAAGACAAATCTGTTTCAGGGTAAATGTCAAATCAAATAAAACCCCAAACCACTCAAAACCCTTCCCCTCTCCTGGACCCCTCACCTCAAAGAACTTCTCAGTGGGGTCAACCAGCATCTCCAGTGTCTCCCTCTGCTCCTCTGACAGGGTGTAAGGGTAAGGGATGGCCTGCTCGGTGACGGCTGCCCCACGGAACATGTTCATCACGAAGGACTTGTTCACCTCTATCTTTTTGGCCATGTTGCGCTCCTTTGCAGGGGCCTTTGAGGCTGCTGGCTGGGCTGCTGTAGACTGCAGCCTGTAAGAAAGGAACTGTCATTAGGAGAGGAGTGGACAGGAGATGAAAGGAAAGAAAGTCTAAAGTTTTTAAAGGAATTTTTATCACATAAACAGCAAGGTATAATGCCCTTCTTTGAGAGAGAGAGAGAGAGAGAGAGAGAGAGAGAGAGAGAGAGAGAGAGAGAATACAAACCAATGATATTAATATTTTAAAATAATGTTTGGATATGCAACACACATAGCTCAATTGAATTCCTTCTCATCATGATCATCATCATATCCTCTTCTCTGCCTTGTCTAAGGTCATTCCTCTTCCAAACAGGATAAGATAAATTCCCATATAAAAAAAAAAAAAAAAAAAAAAAAAAAAAAAAAAAAAAAAAAAAAAAAAAAAAAAAATCTCACCTGCATTTAACCCAAGAGTTCTTATCATATTTATACGTTCATCCAGTGTGATAAAAACTTATCAAACTTGCTCTTAATAACAGGTCAAGGTACACATTTTGCGTAAGACAAAATAAGTGCCTTACGTGAAGCCCAGATTAGATAAGAGACCTGGATCAACAGTGCGTAATCGATCATTCTTGGGAGGATAGATGGAAAGAGAGAGAAAGACAGG